AGGGGAACATCCAGCCCTGCCTCCAGACATGGCCTGACCTACGTGCAATCTTTGTGGTTGCATGACCATGTCAGTTCATGACAGCTCGTTTGTAAGCCAAGAAAGCTGAACAGGACTAGAGCCTGCCATGGACAGATTTACTTAGGTACAAATATGCTTTGCACAGCTGCAGCGTTCTCCCACCTGGAAATGTAGGATAGTTCGAGCAGTGCAGCTGCAACCAGTGCTGGTGTTTTTTGTTTGGTTGGTTGGTTTTTTTAAAAAACACACACACACCAAGCAAGTGTGGCTTTAGCACATGCACAAACCAAGGAAAGCACATATGGCACTGTTCCTCACTGTCACAACCATAGGCAACAATTCAGTGCATCTCCCCTCATCTCACAGACGGCAGTAACCACCTACAGACAACTTGAATAAGGAACAGATTTACTCAGACTTCCTCCACTCCTACCTTCTACCCAAATTAATGTTGGAGTAGATAAGGCTGTGGAGCATTTCCCTTCCCTTTTTCAAACCTTTCCTTAGTTTAAACAGTCTGACTCATCAGCAACACAAAGATGACAAAACGTCTATTCTCCTCCCCCCTACCTCAAATGTTTTGGCATGATTTTGCTATCAAATTAGGGTACTCGATCCATGCCAGTTGGATGGAAAAAAAAAAAAAATGGACTCCTAGAACACTCATTGTATATGATTAGGATTCGGGGAGGGTGCGGAGCATAACATAATAGGCAGAAAGTGAAAACAGCCAAAGGAAACGCCTACACTCTTCCTTTACAAAAGCTGCTTGTTGTGTCTGTCTGAACAATTGTTCAGAAACCTGGAGGGGAACGAGAAGGAAAAAGATAACCGACTTTATTAAGAGCAAAAGATTGATTGAGCAATTGATTGCACTTAATTGGAACTGCATAAAGGAGGGAGAGGATTTCAGGTTATTTTCCCGGCCCCGCAAAGCAGCGCAGGCAGCAGCCCCAGCTCCCCAGCACTGAGCTTCTCCCAGGCAGCACTCCTGGAAGCGGCTCTGGGAGCTGACCCCTTGCACAGCCCTGCCAACAGCAACGTCTGAGGCCTCAGGAAGGAGTAGGAACTCCAGAGTCGTGAGGTTAACCTCTGAGGTTGGTTTGCGCATGTGTTTCTTTCCAGACCATTTTTTTTTATTTTGTGTCTCAGGAAAGCTGGGAATTGAGCCTGATGGGATGCTTTCCTCTGGAACAACAAGGCCTAGAAGGCTTATCGTTTCTATTTTGCCTTTATTTCCTCTTCCCACCTCACCCCCCACTTCTTTTTAAGAGAACAGCAAGATTCTTATCTCATCAATTAATTTCAGGACAGGGGCCTTCAAAAGAAAAGTGTAATCTATTTCTTAACTACCAGCTACGTGGTTGAACTTCACCAATCAAAGGGACAGAAACAGCACGTTAACGGGGTATATTTTCACGAAGCAAAGGTTCTATTTCCCAGTCACACGCATAATAATGAAGCTGCAGCACAAGAGAGAACTAGCTCAGAGTTTCACAATCCTTCCCCCCCCCCCCCCCCCCCCCCCCCCCATAACAATCCTCAAGGGGAAAAATGATAACGTGCATGAACAGCTAAAATAAAAGCTGAATGCAAGCTAACCACTTGGGAGTAACCAATTCCTCTTAATGTACTGTCATTACTGTACTGTATGTAGTACCTTATTTTTCCTCTTAAACAGCAGGAAAAACAGTTACTCATACTGCACAGATAAGAGCGTGATTTCCAGGGAAAACAAAAGTTCCAGCAGTTGGAGTTGGATTTGCTTTGTTTAAAATCAAATTGCAAGGTATGTGGGCCTCAAAGTTATCTAAACAGAACGGTCAGCACATAGAGGAGGCTGGAAGGGACCTCTCACAAACATCTCATCCAACACAGACGTCATTTATTTGCCTGGGAACATTCTAGGTTAATAAATACAGAGGCTTGTTGTGAAGGCAAGGTGCTGAGCTGGATGGCCAGGATGCCCCGTGCAGGGTACCGCTGCCTGCACCTGGGAAGCCAGAGAACAGCCCTGCAAGCTGTGTGCTCTGATAACACATCTCACATCCACCAATCCCATTTCCAACTCTAAGCAAAGAGAGCTTTACCTGACTTTGTAAGGAAGCAAAGTGAGAGAGAAGGCAAGAGAAGTGCTGCTATTCCTTCCAGTGTGAGCCAAAAGCCACATGAACATGACAAGGAAACAAATAACACCTTTTACATGGGGCTGTCCATGCCAAGTTCCTTAGGATGGGGAGACAGACTCAGAGAAGGAGGAAACAGCATGGGCTCGCCTCCCTTTCTCAGGCACACACCTCCTGCAAGCCTCTCACTGTCACCTTATTTTCTGCCAGGAGTCACTGCTTTCCCAGCTCTGCCGACTGAACCACTCATCCCTCATCAGCTCCACTCCAAACAAGCCAGGTCGTAGAGTCAGTCATATAGACCAACTGGGTCATATAGAACAGCTGGCCATATAGTCAGTCCATTGAGACTGAAACGGGATGGGGAAGCTCAACCTGAGCAACTCCACCTGCACACCCCTGGCAGGAGGGTGGTGACACGCGGTGGAAAAAAAAAGCATCCCTGGGACCCAAGAAGTCCCTGTCACTGAGCCTGTGTTGGCATGCTCCCTGTGCACAGGGCTGCTAGAGCAGAGATGCACACAGTTCTTCCCTTTTTGCAAACAGCCCCATCACTCTGCAGCTACAATTACCTGTAGCTAGCACTCGTTAAGTGCTTTGAAGATTAAAAATGCAGATACAAGTGTTAAATATTGTAATTATTCTTACTACATAACATTGCTGCACTGAAAGAAGGGAGGGGTTGTTTTTCCATGTTTGTATGTGGGAATACCATGACAGCTGCTCCTTTCTGTAAGTGAATTGCTGCCAATAACCTTGATAAGGAGTTATGCTTGAAGGAAAAGGACTGAGTCGGGGAGTTTTCTTGGAGTGCTACATACCACAGTGAAATTAAACGGAGCTCTTACCAGGGCTCCTCTGTCAGAGCTTATTGCTCTACGTGCTGATCACCTGAGATGCCTCTGGCTCCAGGAGGAGCAGCACTGACTCTCAGCACCTCACCATGGCTCCCTCACCCTCCACTAATCCCAAGCAGTTTGAACCTCACTTCAGGCAGGCCCCACATCCCAAGGAAAAGGGTCACTATTGCCCATTCCCTTTCACTGCAAGGCAGCTTCTGCTATGGAAACTTAGAGAAAGCATCAAATCAGATTCATTATGTTGGAAAAGACCTCTAAGATCATCCAGTCCAACCATCAGCCCATCACCACCACATCCACTAAATGATGCCCATGGTGCAAGAGGACCCACCTTGCTTCTCCTTTTGCACTCTTGGGAAGATGGAGCAGAAGCCATGAAGAAGGCTATTTCCACCCAAATATAAAATACTCAGGTGAAGCAAGCACCTCAAGACTGCACTTATCCCCTCAGAGGAGATAAGCAGAGGCGATCACTGCACCTGATAGTGCACAGAGGAGGTGTGGGCAGGTAGCAGGCTGAGAGGGCTTGGGTTACAGTTATTCATTTACTGCAGCTCCTCCAGGCTCCCAGGGGGCTCACAGGTGCCTGGCACACATCTGGGAACCCATGGAGCAAGTTCTTGCCTAATCCAAAACCTACTGACAGCAACAGCACAAAATCTGGGATCAGTGAGGCGGTTTGCAAGAAGAGCCACGCTTTTACATCTTCATTTTTTGTTGTTGAAAAATACATTAAAAAAAAAAAACACTAAAAACATATTTATTCTAGAATTTTAAAGCTCATTTGGTGGTATGGCAAAAGGTGCAAAGGTGGCACAGGATAAAGGACTACTGAGAGAGAAGCTTGGGTGTGTCGCAGGGGAAGGGAAAGGTAGGAGGAAGTGTAGGAGGTGATGCAGACAAGCTCACTAAATTGCAAGGCAAAATGTAGATTCTGTCCCCAAGCAAAACACCTCTGCACTGCTGTCAGGTCAAACTAATAAAGCCAGCTCTTTAGAGGCTCCGCCATCTGGCTGCATTTCCTCTCTCACCAAGAGGAAAAATAATTAATGAGCAGCTTCTGTCTGGCAATCAGCAACTGTTTGCATCATCATATATGGAGATGGCAGCCTTCCTGATCGCAGAACACACCTTCTTAAGTGGTGCATTCAGCCTCATGCATCGTGCCATCCACAGCACTGCAAGGAACTTCTCCAAGGAGGGACTGCAGGTGGGCACATCCCACAAAACGTAGCTCACTGAGCTCACTCAAGTCTTGGTACATTGGCCATGGCCAGGAAGACTATACTCCAGTATCTGCAGTCCTCACGGTGTGAGATTTGCAATAGAACGTGAACATTGCTGGCAAGATGCATATTCACACTGGATTTAGTAACTAATAGAACAACTTCCTTTGTTTACTATGCAAAGAACATGAGAAAATTAAGCTGATCTGGGGCTAGTCCAAGTCTCTGCTAAAAAGGCCTTTGACAAAAGCTAACCTCTCTGCTTCTGAATAAGTATTAGCAATTTGTTTCTGCATTGTTCAGCCAGTTTTGTAGGCAAAGACAAACGAGAAGAGAACTTGGTCATTTCCCCCCCACACACACCAATTGTCAAATAAATTATTCACAAATACACGCTTCCATCATTCATCTAGCACTAGACTAAACACTTTCTACTAAACTTGGTTTTCAGCATCATGTTTCAGTTTATGGTTACATTTTTCCCTGGGCAAAGCAAGTCAGTCATTAGACAGCTCTTGTAAGTTTCCGCTAAACATGCTTGATTAAGTCTTTTAAGAAGGAGGAGGTGGAGGAAATTGTATTTTAAACTTAATAGGGACATTTCCATTCACTTTAGTGGGAATCATACTGGAAGAGATAACATTATTTTGAGGATGCATATACTTAGGTCTGAAAAATAATCCCCCAAACCCAACAACCGTGCCACCAAATGCCACACTTCATAACGCCCAGTCTTCAAACTGAACAGAATAAGAAACCAATCTCACCACTGAGGCTGTCCAAAGAAGCAACTCTCCCAAGGACACTACCTGGTACATAGCGTGCACCTGATCCACCAGCACCACTAAGGCTCCAGCCTTGTTCACTCTCCAGTGACTTAACTTCTTCTACGTGCTCATGCACTGTGGTGATGCTGAGCTGGCACAGGTGTTCACCTTTAATTTCCCCAAGCCAGAGCCACAGCTGATGCAATTCAGCCTAATGGCTTGAGGAGCTGGCCTCGTTTGAAAGGAAAAGCAGAATTTGAAAAGAAAAGTGAAAAAGAAGAGATTCAGAGATGGATTTCTGTACTGATTTACTGTGTGCCACGCAGCCATACGAGGTCAGGATGAGACGCTTGGAGGGAACCTCTGAAATGAAATAACTGCATGAAGCTGCCACGTTTGGAATTTATATAGGTAGGCAAATTGAAAAGCAGGCACACCTCAAGAGTACACCTTAGCTGCAGGTCAGCAAGAAAACTCCGTGTCATCTTTTTCTTCAAAGAGGTTTAGACGGCTGCTGCCATCCCCTAAACTTAGAAGAAAGAGGGACATGGTGTGCTATTCATTGTATGCAAATCTGTGACAAACATCACTGAAGGCAACACCTGTGTTCATCCCTGCAGAGAGCAATCGTTTTAATCAAGTGGTTACCGTAAGCCCTTCTCTTCCAGAGGAATTTCCAGCTCAATCCATTTCAGAGGGATCCATGGAGAGTACCCCCCAAAAAATTGTGCTTATTCATTGTTAGCACATCAGCACAAGATCCTGGACACAACCAGGAGCTAGATGGTATAGAAACACAGAAGAGGAGGCAGTCCCTACCTTGCCAAGATTACAATCTCAAAAGTCACAGGGGAAAAAAAAAATAATAGACGAACAGGCTCAGCAAATGTTGAAAGCTAGAGGTGTGGTGGAGGGCTCACATTCCTTGCCTTATTCAGCGTGGGGATGTGAGACAAGGCAGGGCTCTGGAGCAAAAGAGCTGCATGAGGAGACACAAACCTCTCCCCAGGGGCCCATTCGCTGCAGGCTCCTTTCAGGGCTCTCCTACCAGAAGAGCAGTTTGGGAGGAGCCCACAGTGGATGTTAAGAAGGGCAGCAGCATTGGACTTAAGCGTAGGGCCCTTCTTTCTTCACCCAGCTCACATGGCAGGTGCAGCTCAGGGCTTTAAGTGTCTGCAAGACTTGCTGTCTGTGTCTTCTTCCTCCCCAACCTGCCCTTCAGTCCTACTGCCAGAGCACGTCACCCGGAGTCATTCCATCTGAAAACTATGCAGGTCTGACCTCTAAAACACAGAAATACCCAGTGCAGAGCTGATGAGGACCTTCCTTTCAGATTCATCCCAAAGCCCAAGCCATTATCTATCGGATCAGCCCCTGCAGGCTCTCAGATACCACTCTGCCTCCTCCTCAGCACCCAGTGGGATTTTGGCAGAGCACAGGTGCCAAGGTGCTCTGATGCAGGTGGCTGTGGGCATGCCTAGCAGCACTGCTCCCTGTGCTGGGAGCACAGGCAGAGGGTGGAGGTGGGATGGTCACGCAGCCCCAGGTATGGGCAGCACTGTGGGTTTGAGGTTAGCGGTCCAAGCTCTGTATCAGTGGAGGTGACACAGTGCCCAGGTGAAGCTGGCCCATACAAGAGCCCTTCCAAATTTCCTCCATGCAGTTCTCTCCACTTAATTTAAGTGCACCTAATCAGGAAATCTGTTTCATTGGCATATCTCACTTAGAAATCAGGGATGCTTACTAACAATGACTGCATCTTGATCAGGATGGTAATATCGCTTAATTGGGATGCCTTCAGGTATCTTAGTGGTTTGAGTTCTTTATGTCTCAAGCTCAAGCTAGTCTTGTCTGTCTGCTCCTCATAAAACAGCTTTCAGTTCCTCCTTGATAATGATACAGGCAAACGATGATGTAAGCTGCCCGAACATTTCTTGCTCCTGGCTGTCAGTTGCTGTGGGAGGGGCACATTACCTGCTGCTGTGGGTGTTCTTGCCACAGGGACGGCTGCGGGAGCTTTGGTCACCATCTCATGCAGAGCTTCCTGCTGTCCCCAAAGGCCTCTTGCTGTCCCCTTGGCCTCCTGCTGTCCCCACAGACCTTCTGCTGTCACCACTGTAACCAAAAGCAAAGAGCATGTGTTGAAGGGGAGCTGAACATGCCCCTGTGCCCAGCCAGCCACTCAGGTACCCCACAGTCAGACACACGTAATTACTTCTAAATGTAAGCCCCAGCTGAAAATCTCTGCTTCTCCTTCAGGGATTATCAAGTTAAACAGAAAACTTCAATAACTTTTATAAATAATCCCTCAAGTGTCTCTTCCTTCCTAAAAAAACTGTGCTTGTGGTTAGCAAGTGAAGCACTCCTAGCACAACCATTCGGTGTGGGACAGAGGCTTGTGGCCTCTGCTGGATGGGACAGATGGGACATTTGGAAACAGAGACCTACAGAACACCTGAGGTCAGCACCAGTGGAACCCCTAGGTCCTATTTGAAAGCCCCATTAATTTGTGCATGGCTCGTGCTTTGTGAAAACTGCGCCTACACCCTGAAAGTTCTGTTCTTTAAACCCTTCTTTCCCCTCTGCTTATTGCATTGTAGCACTGCTCCTTTCTGCATGCAAACAGCTGTAGTGCGTTACGTCTGGCAGCGCACGAATAACTGTGCAGAGAGCATTTGTAGCCTCATAAAAGCACGTATGCAGATAGCAGAGCCTTACGACGTGCACTGCCTTTGCTCATAGAGCCCTAAAGGAACTCAGAGCTCCTTGGTGCATTTGTGCTTACTGTACGTCAATGCCTCGTAACGCTCCAAAAACCACACACTCATCGAGCTGCGCGTGTGCGCATTCGCACCTCCTCTGCAGCCATACGGAGGTGCAAAAGCCTGTGCTTCGAGTTTACGGGCAGCTTTATGGAGCCGTTTCGTCGGAGGCCGAGCAGGGCAGTAACGAGTCAGCAAGGGGCAGCTTAAAAAAAAAAATAAAAAAAATCCAGGAGCGCTTTTCCTGGAAACCGGCACTGTTTCATTCGCAGGTTTTACGGGCAAGCCTGGCAACCCATAAAGACATTCCTTGGCACGGCCGGAGAAATAGCGGCCCCGGCGGAGCTGGCACCGCGCTGCCGCGCACCGCACAGACCCGGCACTGCGCGGGGCTCCCGGGGCCCGGCAGGTGCGCGGAGCGGCGCGGAGCGGTCGGTAGGGGGCGCCCGCGGCCCGCGCAGCGCCCGGTGTCGCGCAGGTGGCCGGAGGGTGCGGCGCGGGAGCTGCGCGGGCGCGGAGAAGCCATTGCCCCCCATCTGCCCGCCTCGGGGCAGCGCAGCCCTCCCGCAAACTCATTCCTGTGCTCAGCCCTCGAAATACTCGAGAGAAGGGAATGATGAGCGCAGTGGCTGATCGCTATCGGGCGCGTGATGAATCGCCAAGCGCTTATCGCTGCCCAGAGAGGAACTGCAACCTCGTTCTAGCGTAAATAAATCCTTTCTGCAAATCGGTCTCTCTCCTCCCGCATACATGGCAGTAGTTGGAGATGGAGCAGGAGGCTCCCTCTCGCTCCCCGCTCCGCCGCCCCGCGAGGGTCCATTTGTGCGGTTCCAGAGAAGCCGCCGGTGGGCTCAGCACCGCTCCAGCCTCGCCGCCCCTCCCGGAGAAAGGAAGGAAACAAGGGAGGAAAGGGAACACAAAAGGGACAAGGGACCTTGGAAAGAAAAAAAAAAAAAAAAGAAAAAGAAAAAAATTAAATCAAATCCATGTCTGCTGTCTCCTGGTCGTTTTAAGAGAGAGCTTTTAACCTCCCACACCTCCTCAGCCCCCAAACGTTGTTTTTTCCGTGAGATGCCGGAGCTGTGGAGGACCCACTAAATTAAAGGGATTTATGCGGTTGCGGGTCGGTTTGGTCTTAGTGTTTTCTGTGTGACACCGCTCTGCCCCAAGTGCAGAAGGAACGCGAGCAGTTTCTCGCAGCGCGGTTTTGGTTGCGCTGCTGATGCCGCGACACCTCTGTGTCACATGGACGGGACGAGGAACCTCGCGGGTTCCGACCGATCCACGGCCCCGGCTCTGCTCTGGGAATTAAATGCAAAATTCGCCTTTAGACATCACAGGTGAAACCAAGGCGTTGCGCTCGTGAAATACACGAAGCCGATGAGCGTTGCCGCATTTACGGTGAAGGGCAATTTATTTCCCATTCAAGAATGAGAGCCTAAAGGATGCCGGAGGGATGGAGAGCTCATTTTCGTATTAAATTGGGTTGTTTATGTCTTAAGACAAAAGCCACCCGGGACTGGAAGAGTGCTCCGGCTCAGCTGTGAAGTCGTCAACTCGTGATAATAGAAACAAAAATACGAACACAAACGCAAGCACAAATAAAATACAAAACGCGCACACAGCCCCTGAGCTCGGGCCGCGCAGCACTGCGAGGGCAGAAGGTACCGTGCTGCCAAACCGGTGGCTGTGAGCGGGTGGGTCTGGCACAGAGCTGAGCACAGATTTTGGGGGGATGGCCTCTCTCCCTGCTCCCCCCTCCTCGAAAAGATGAGAGCTGCTCTCCCTGCCCTCCGTTTGCGGAACGCGGAAAGCCGCAAGCCGCATCCTGAGATGCGAAAAGCCGGGTTGGGTGGCTGGGCTCGGAGCTGCAGGGCTGCCGCTGTGATGTGGGAGCCAAAAGAAAGAGAGAGAAATGCAGCTCTGACTCCGTCTAAACACAAACAGCCCGGGGCCGGCGGGCGGGTCACCCCCGGGTCTCCCAGAGCGAGCCGGGGGGGCCCACCTGGCTTTGCCCAGGTCAGACGGCGGCCCCTCCGCCCAGCGCTCCGCTGCCATCCTTCTTACTGACATCTCCGTAAATACGGCCGCCAGCGGCCACACACGCGCCGAGCCCCGCGGCTCAACTCCTCCGGCCCGACGCTGCCCGGCTGGGTCCCCGAGCCCGGCCCCGGCCCCTCCGGCTCCAGCCCCGCTCCGTGGGGCACCGAGCGATGCCGGCAGCCGGAGGCCGCGTTGGGTGCGCTGCTGGAGCCCTTCGGGGAGGCGAAAGCCCGGCGCCGAGACCTCTTTCTGGGTGGTATCCCGAGAAAGCGGTGGGAAAAGCACCCTTCCTGCCGCCCTCGCACCAAATATCACCGTACGAACATGCCACTCTCGCTCTTCACAATGGTGACTTTTGTGCCCCGCATGCAGAAACCAGAGTCGCGCTGCTGCGAGGTATGTAGCTTAGCACGCAGCCGGCAATTGCGTCAGTTCAAAATTATAGAATCAGAGGGGCTATTGCAAAACGGGTTGAATGCAAACCACGCCGGATTAATGCCCCCCTTCCCTTCTTCCCCGTGCTGAAACCTCTGGGTGTTGGCACAGCCCCGCACAGAGCCGGAGGAGCAAAGGGTCCATCGCGCAGTGAGCGCGCAGCGAATGGGAACGGCTGTGTCCGCGGTAACGCCGTGGGAACACCGCACGGCCCGGGAGCGTGGGGACGAGCTGACACGTTCCTTTATTCCCCCCCCCCCCCCCCTTTCCTTCTGCCTTTTCTTTCTTCTTTTTTTTTTTTTTTTTTTTTTTCTTCAGCAAAACAAGGGAGAGTTTTTGAAAATACCGAGTATTGGGACGAACGCACGGTTTTTGAAAATACCAAGTGTTGGGATGGATAAACAGCGCAGTGCTCGCACGTTTATTCGTTCTGCAGTCGTGAAGGAAAGGGGGAAACGCGCAGTGGGGCAGCAGCAGGTGAACAACTGCAGACGGTGAAACACAACGGCTGTGTGGGACCGGGTATTCCCCATTACAGCGCTGACATTTATTACCAAGAGGAGACCCGCGACGTTTGAATATGAAAAAGGAGCAGATATCAGCCCGTATAAATTACTTCTTTGGTTCCTTGCACCGCACTGAAAGCACGCGTGTGCGTATTGAATAACCAACGGCTCTGCGCTGTGTGAGGAACGAAACGAGCGAAGGATGCGTCCTCACAGCGAAAGGCTGTGAAAGGGGCTCGGAACCGGGGGAACCCCGGAGTCCTCGGCCCGACGGGCGCTGTCACACGCTCGGGTGAGCGATGCTTCGCACCAACGAGCTCTCAGCGTCTTTCCCCTCACATACGCCGCCCCTCAAAACAGATTTCGGCTCCTTCCTCCGACCGACCGGTTCCGAACGCCAGCGGGGTCCCGGCTGGCAGCGGCCGAGGGCAGCGGGATGGGCTTCGTTTCCCCGCGGGGCTGCCGAGACTTGCCCCGCAGGACACGGACGCGGTTCTCCCGGGTTTAAACGGCGAAATGAAATCCTCCTCGCTCCGATGGAGCAACGACCAGGGAGAGGGAGGGGGATGCTGGAAAAGAACGAACCGAGCCCTCACCCCTCACCGCCTCTGCGCTCCCGTTGAAGAGTTATTCCCAACATCCCGTTACAGCCCATATACGCTCTTAGACATTTCAACAAAGGCAGCAGCAATACGAATCAATTCTAGCTACGAGGTCCGGCCAAACGATATCAGGAGCATCCCCTTTCCCGCGCCTATTTCTTTTCGTTCCCGTGACACACACCTGACACACACGGAGCGGGAAACGGCACCGCAGTGGGGCACAAAAGCCGCACCCCGTGCTCCGCGCAGGGTCACCCCAAGATGCGCAGAGCCGCGTACCGCACCGCGTCCGCACACCACGCGGGTTGTCCCCTCCCTGCCCACGGGCGTGGGGAGAGGGAGAGGATCCGGGGTGCGAGGAGGGGGGAAGGCCAAAGGGAGGGGGTGAGCAGAGAAAATAATAATAACAAATTGAGGGAAAGCGGGGGGCGAGCAGAGAACATAATAACAATGAATTGAGGGGAGGGGGAGAAACACGCGTGGCGGAGAGCTCCGCGTGTGTGTGTGCATCGGTGAAACGCATGAATCTGTCCGCACTCGTACGGCGCACGGGTGGGCGCTCACACGGTCTTGGCGCAGACCCCCCCGCGCGCGCGCAAAATGCGCGCAGGCGACGGGACCCCGCGCAAGCCCCAGGCTCGGCGTGTGTGGCCGTAGCCGAGAGCCGCGGCTGCCGGCGCTGCGCGGGAGCTCTTTTCCCGTCTCTCTTTCTCCCTCTCTCTCTTTTTTTTCCCTCCGTCTCTTTTTTTTTTTTTTTTTCAGCCCGGTCGCGTTTTTTTTCCCTCCTCATTCAGAGCCGCGGGTGTTTCCCGGCCCCCATTGGCCGTCCGGACTCGGCGGGGCGGGGCCGGGCCGCTGCAAAAGGAGGAAAAGAAAAAAAAAAAAGAGAGAGAGAGAGAGCAAGAGAGAGAGCGGAGAGAGAGGGGAGGAAAAAAAAAAAAGAAAAAAAAAAAAAAAAAGGAGAAAACCGTAAGTGCGTAAAAAAGTTCTCGCGGCGGTGACGGATGCTCAAAAGTTCAGGAGTTTTTCCGATGCGTCCCAACGCAGCCCGGCACCGAGAAAGAGACTGAAAAAAAGAGAGAGGAGAGAAAGCGCGGAGCTCCGCCGGCGGAGCGGACGGTGGATTTTTTCCTGCTGCTGCTCGCTTCAAAAAGCCCCACAGAACCCATCCCCGAGCCGGGTCCCCGCTGCAGACAGCTCGCTGCGGAACGCGGAGCCGGGAGCTGCGTCGCAAAGGTTTTCTTTCCTTAATCCCCCTCCTGCGTTGGGAGCTGCCTTCTCCGCTGCGATTGCTGGTTTTTTGTTGTTTTTTTTTTTTTTTTCCTTTTTTCATATTTTTTTTTTTCCCTCCCCCGTTTCTCTTTTTTCGCAGCCCTTTTTGCCCCCTCCCCGATTTTTTGACCTCCCCCCCGCCCCGCGCGGAGCAGACCGAGAGCGGAGCCCGGCGCCTCCGTCCCTCGCTCCGCCGGGAGGGGCGGGGGGTGCCGCACGGCCGCCGGGCGCTGCTCGGCCCCGCGGAGCGGCGGAGGGTGGAGGGGGAAGGGCCGCGCTGCTCGCCGCGGCGGGAGGGAGGGAGGGGGACGGCTGCCGGGCGGCCATGCAGGCGCGCTACTCCGTGTCCAGCCCCAACTCCCTGGGCGTGGTGCCGTACCTCGGCGGGGAGCAGAGCTACTACCGAGCGGCGGCGGCGGCGGCCGGCGGGGGCTACGCGGCCATGCCGGCCCCCATGAGCGTGTATTCGCACCCGGCCCACGAGCAGTACCCCGCCGGCATGGCCCGCGCCTACGGGCCCTACACGCCGCCGCCGCAGCCCAAGGATATGGTGAAGCCGCCCTACAGCTACATCGCGCTCATCACCATGGCCATCCAGAACGCGCCCGATAAGAAGATCACCCTCAACGGGATCTACCAGTTCATCATGGAGCGCTTCCCCTTCTACCGGGACAACAAGCAGGGCTGGCAAAACTCCATCCGCCACAACCTGTCCCTCAACGAGTGCTTCGTCAAGGTGCCCCGCGACGACAAGAAGCCCGGCAAGGGCAGCTACTGGACGCTGGACCCCGACTCCTACAACATGTTCGAGAACGGCAGCTTCCTGCGCCGCCGCCGCCGCTTCAAGAAGAAGGACGCCGTCAAGGACAAGGAGGAGAAGGACCGCCTGCACCTCAAGGACCATGCCCCGCAGCCGTCGCGCCCGCCGCCCACCGCCGCCACCGGCGCCGAGCCCGAGGGCGGGGGCCCTCCCGCGGCCGGGGCCGCTCCGCCGCCGGTGCGCATCCAGGACATCAAGACGGAGAACGGCACGGCCTCCCCGCCGCAGGCCGTGTCCCCGCCGGGCGCCGCGCCGCCGCTGGGCGCCGTGCCCAAGATCGAGAGCCCCGACAGCAGCAGCAGCCTCTCGAGCGGCGGCAGCCCCCGCGGCGGAGCGCTCCCCGCCGCCCGCTCCCTCGGCATGGAGGGCCCCGAGCCGCCTCCCCCTCCTCCTCCACCTCCTCCTCCTCCCCCCCCTCCGCACCACCACGGGCCGGGCTTCAGCGTGGACAACATCATGACCTCGCTGCGGGGCTCCCCGCAGGCGGCCGAGCTGGGCGCCGGCCTGCTGCCCCCCGCCGCCGCCGCCCCGCGCAGCTCGCTGCCGCCCGCCCTCTCTCTCGGCGCCTACTCTCCGGGCCACAGCTCCGCGGTGTACGGCTCGCCCTGCGGCCAGCCCGCCGCCGCCGCCGCCGGCTCCTACCACTGCAACATGCAGGCCATGAGCCTGTACGCGGCGGCGGGGGGCAACGAGCGGCCCGGCGGCCACCTGCCCGCCGCCAGCCCCGCCGAGGAACCGCTGCCCGACTACGCCATGCCCGGAGGGGGCGGCGGCGGGGCGGCCAACGGCGGCGCGGGGAGCGGCGGCGGCCCCGGCGGCGGCGGCGGCCCCGGCGGCGGCGGGGCGGGGGGCGGCCACCAGGAGGGGCACCACCCGCACCCGCACCAGGGCCGCTTGGCTTCCTGGTACCTCAACCAGGCGGCTGCGGCGGCGGCGGCGGCGGCGGCGGCGGGGGAGCTGGGCTACGCGGGGCCGCAGCAGAGCTTCGCCGCCGGTCCGCGGGACGTCTTCGAAGCGCCGCGGATGGGGCTCAGCGCCTCGCCCGGAGGCGGAGGAGGCGGCGGCAACGCGGGGAGCGGCGGCGGAGCGGGGGGCGGTGGCAGCTGTCAGATGGCGTTCCCCGGCAGCCAGCCGCTGTACCGCGCCTCCGGGGCCTTCGTCTACGACTGCGGCAAGTTCTGAGCGCGGCCCGCCGCCCGCCGCCCGCGTGCGGGGCGGTGAGAGGACGGCGGTGCCCGCTCCCACGTAAGTGTCGCTTTTTTTTTGGTTGATCGCTTCCCAGCAGTGCTCTCCCCCCGCGCCCCGTCCCGTGAGGTATCGCCGCGCCCCGCTTCTGCACCCCCCCCCCGCCCTCCCCCCCGGACAAGGACTTGTTTGAAAGTGTAAATTGCCACATAGTAATTTATTTTTAATTTGTAGTTGGATGGTGCGGACCAAACGCCACAAAGTGTTTCCCCTTCCCTGAGAAGTGTCGTTAACACGGACTGAAACGCTGATATTTTTTTTTTTCACTCTATATAAAAAAAAGGGAAACTGTATTAATCTTATTCTATCAATATTTTTTTCCTGTTTTTTTTTTTTTTTTCGTTGAAAATATCCCGAAGGTATCGCGTTGTTTGTTTATTAATAAATTACCGTTCAGTTGGAATGACCCTGCCCACGTCTGCATACTTTCACGGTTTGCTTTGAGAGGGAAAGAGAAGGGTTCCGTGGCTTCCGCGGGGCGATGGCACTGCGCGTCCCCTCCGCGCAAATCCCGGGCACCGCCAGGTCCGAAAATCCCATTTCTGTCCCTTCCGCGCTGTGTTCCCCTCTCTCGGCTCGCTCCATACATTGGGAACAAACCCCTCCCGGAGCTGCTCGGCGCTGGCGAGCAAACAAACGCGTTTTCTCCGCAATAAATGGCCGAGAGCGGCGGTGCGGCCCCGGCCCGGTCCCTGCGCTGCTGTCGGTGCACGCACACGGGGCGGCCCTTACACGTTACCCCTTTATTTGTAAACGGGATTTGCGTATGGATCTCTATTTAAAGAAGGCTCGCGTATTTATTTCTAGAAACGCACCGCGTGTGTTTCTAAACCCCGCGGTGGATGTTAGATGGCTGATAGTCTCCAACGTGTGTTTTCTTAAGTGTACCGTGGGCAGAAATCGCTGCTTTGCGCAGTTGGCAGCGGGGCCGCTCCCGTAGAGCAGCGCTTGATCTCCGAAAGGGAACGAAGGGCTGGGTCGCACCGCCGTGGCTCTGCCCAGCTCCTGTCCTTTGGGGACCTTTCCACTCCGCTGGGATGGCCCCGCTGCTTCGCTGCGGATCCGTTTAGGAAAAGTTGCAGGGGAAAATTTTTCCTATGTAGCGTTTAACTTTTTTTTTTTTTTTTTTTTTCGTCTTTCTCCTGCCTCCTTATTCGTTAAACCTGAAAAAGTATATTTCCACGGCCACCGTAGACGAATGGGTCACAGGCTGACATTCTGTCCGGGCAGGAATGTCACCTTCTGCTCAATTTGCAATTAAGAACCTACGGGCATTGAGGATCGCCTCCCTCTTTGCAAACAGCCACCAAAGTGCCATAAATTCATTAAGTTGAAAGGCTGTGCCCTGTCAGTCAGACCTGGGGAGAAGGCGATTCGATTGCAGATATTTAAGGCCTAAAGTTTGCTCGCAAGATAATGCCGTTTCCTATCAGCGCCTCTTATCAGGAGGCGACACTCAGCAGTAATTGCTGCCGCATTGCTGAGTTTGCACTGTAAATAAATACAGAGGTGTTCACCTCATTGCCCCGCTTTTGGGCAGCTCTTCCTCTCCGGAGCAGCGATAATCACAGCGCACCTTCAGCACACCGACTTAGGGAGTTACTGCATAAAGCTGCCTAGAAATCGGTTTCTTTAAACAGGTCACTGTCTTTTAAATTGTTTTGTGTAATTCTTTGATATTATTTTGTTTTTCCTGTGATAGTACCAGTGAAGAAATTATCGGCCCTATTTCTATCTATGTGTTTGTTGAGTTGGGTCCGAAAAGCCCCCCTTCCTCCTTCCCCCCCCTCGCCCCGCCGCACCGTTGTGTTATCGCTGGAGAAATGGAGCGGAGCGCTCCGGGCCGTTTCTGATGGCGGACCCCCGCTCCCAGGGCCGTGCGCTGCACCCCGCTCCTGTTTTCTCCCTTTTCTCCTCCCAAAATGAAGCTCCGACGGCGAGCGGGGTCTGTCCCCGCGGAGCCTGCGTGGAATCGGTGTTTCTCTCGAGATTGAACGCCAAAATCAAAGTTAAGGCGCGGGGAGGGCAGAGCGGCGATTGCATGTAATGGTTGCGCGGTATTTTCGGTGCTAAGAAACACCGATCTCCCCGCACCCCCGGTTTTCTCAGCGGCGGGGGTAACAAACAGCGACGAGAGTGGGGCTCGTTTCGTGCCGCTGCTCTGCCGGGGGAGAACGGGGCCGTGAGGCGTTCCAACGAGTGCCGCCCGTACCTTCCACTGTCCCTGCGCGGGGGGCAGGGACACGTCCCGCCGGGTTCCCGGTTCTTTCTGACGACTCTCCCCCTCCCGAAGGTCCTGTGGGAAGGCACAGCAGAAGGCACGCGCGGGGTTCGTTATTTCGTATTTATTTTTGTTAATTATTATTATTTTTTTCTCCCCCCTCCGCACAGAACCATAACGCGGAGAACGGAAATGGCGCTGCGCGGGTTCTGCGTGGGTCTCCCCTCAGAACCGGGCCTGCCCCATCACCACGGAACCGCCGTCTGACCCTGCGCGCAACGCGCATCTCCCCGCGAAGTCCCTGTGGTGCCGGGCAGAGGGACGGGGCCGCTCGGCCCTGTTCTGCCGCGGGGCAGTCCGCGGGTGAGGGGGCAGCGTGCAGCTCCATGCTGTGTTTCAGCCTGAGCCGAATCTCAAAGCTATTGCCTTGCATGTTGTCCAAGGGAAGAAAAAATCTCGCCTTAAAACTGTTGTTGTTAATTTGAGAGACCGCTCCGTTTGGCCGGCCGCGGTGGTTTCTTATTTGTGTTTAATTATCTGTCACCGAACTTGAGGGGAATGTGAGGTCTGAATCCCCCCCGGCAGAAGAGGAATATTCTTCCCTCTGCCCGAATTTCCTCCATAGAGTTTCTTCTTAAAGCGAGTGACAGTTTGCATTATGTTCTGCAAAGATCACAACCAAAAGCAATGGGGAAGCACACTGCAGAAAAGATGTGGGTTTGAAGCCCTTCCCCACCTCTGTGGCCCCTGTCAGAGGGAGAACACGGTGCGACTGTTTGTGTCGCGGCTGGAGGCCTGACGGGGAGTGTTACCAAACGTGCGTTTTACGAAAGCAGGGCCCTTTCTGAAATCTTATGGAAATAGTCCCGAGGTGAGCACGGCCGTATTTTCAAAACAGAGCGCAGCTCCGTGGCGCGATGGGTGACCTCCAGGCTGCACTCCGGTTGCACGCTGCCCTCTGTGCGTGTCCCCACAAAACGGCACTGTCTGAGGCGAGCGCGGTTGGATTTGCGCTGCCTGGCGCTTTTGTTGCGCTCAGGGGGCAGCGGCGGCGACGGGCCGGGGCCCACGTGAAGAGGAACGCGAGGTAACGATGCGCGGGGTTCCCTGTGTCATCCTCACGGCGTGAGCAGGAGCGGAGCGCCGGACCCGCGCGCCGGTAGTAGAAGAGCGACCTGCGCGCCTCGTGGGGACGGATGTTCCCGCATCTTCGGTCAGAAATCACCGATTTCGGGAATAACCGCTAATTGAACGTTAGCTTTCAATTAATCTCAGTGCGAGGTCATTTAAATGTCGGCGAAGTCGCACCGTTCCCCCTCGGTTGCCCGACGGCTCGGTTATTTTAATATGCGCGGTTTTTTGGAAGGACTGCGAGGCGCGCAGCAGAAAGCAGGGGCAGCTGCGGTGCCGTCGGGGCGCCTGAGGCCGAGTGGTCGCTGCGCGGGCGCGCAGGTGATGTGCAGAGGAGCACAGTGGGGCAGCGCGCAGAGCAGGTTGCGCGAGTTTTAGTCCGCCGGACCTCGACCCGAGCCCACGTGCCGGGAGGATCCCCTCGCCCTTCCCGTGTGGATTTTGTTTCTTTTTTTTTTTCTCCCCCGTTTATTTCCCCCTCTCCTTTTCCTGTCTGACGGCGCGTCCTCCCCGAAGGTGGTGCGGTGCCGCGGTGCGCGGAGCCCTCCCGACTTCATGACGGCGGCGCTCATAAAGCCATTCGCTTCTTTCCAAAGCCGTAAACAAACGTCGTGTTAGGTCAAGATTGATGGTGTCCATGCAATAAAACCGGGCCAGGTCAGGAAGGAATAAAATTCAATCAGAGCGCGCGGAATCATTTTTCAGGGGACAGAAAGACAGAAAAGGAGACGGGGGTCAGGGGAGGCGATGCCGCCGTTCCCAGCGCACCGCCGCCGGGGGGAGGGCGGGGGTTAACGAGCGATTGTTTTTTATCAAGCGCGGAACAATGGCAGCGGAGGGGGGGAGCGATTCTGAGTCGGGGCGGCCGCAGCTCCGCAGCGGGCAAAGGCCCCGCGAGCGGCCCCGGGGTGCGAACGGCGTGCGGAGCAGGGACTCCCCTCGGCACCGAGAGTCGCCCGCGGTTCGCTCGGCTTGTAACCTCGCTCGATACTCGCGTGCGGCAAAAATAAGAGATATTAGAAAGCGTGGGGAAGTGGAGGAAAGGCGGACCCGGCTGGCGGCCCGTGGGCTGCGTGGGAATGGGGAGGTCGGCAGTTTTCTGCCACCTCAATCAGCTTAGCTCGGGGCGCTCTGGGTGGGCAGAGCGGAGCTGTGCGTGGGGCCGCCCGGGAGCGGCCCTACCTGCGCCGGGGGTCGGGGCTGCGCGTAGCGGAATGACACCGCCAACAACGAGAGCACGACTGGAATCCCCCCTTCTCCTTTCGCCGCCGCCGCTGGGGAGAACGCAGGAAAACCGACACGTTTAGAGCCATTAGCTCTGAAAATAGCCGAATTTCCTCCAGTCGGGAAAGAAAAAAAAAAAAAAAAAAAAGAAAAAACAAATGATGACACTCGGGATATTTTTGTACGATATGATGTTGTATATTCATCTATCGATGGATACCGAGGTCGGATCGGCACAGCGGCGGAGCAGAAGGGCTCGAGGTAGAGAAACGCCGTAGAGTTGCCCCTCTCTGTTCCTGTAGTTTATTTTCCAAGCGTTCAAACTTCGAGTTTATTATTATCATTATTGTTAATAAATACCTGAAATAAGGAAAAAAAAGGAGAACGTTTCCCACTGAACGATAACGTAACAGCACTGGCAGTGCCGCCCGGAGCAGAGCGCTGTTCGGGCAGCGCCGGCGCAGCGCGGGGCAAGGAGGTGGGGGGGGAGGGGGGCCGGAGCGGGCTCATTAACAAAGCAAAGGTCGCAATTAGCGCCCGCCGCCTCGCACCGACCTCTCCCCCGCCCGCAGCCCCCCCTCGCCCCCAGCACCGGATCGTTGCGAGGAATCTGTTGATGTTTTTCTTCCACCCGTCAAAACGTTGGAGCTCTGCCGGCCGCAGCGCTCCGGGCCGCGTTTGTTGTGTCTGCAAGCGACGGAGTACCGGCGCTCAATGGGGGGGCACGGGGGAGAGAGCGGCCCCCGCCCCACAAACCGCGACCCCCGGCCCCGAGGGGAGGGAGGAGAAGGGGGGAGGTTCTGACCCTCACGATGGCGCTGGTGGTTTCGCTCCGCGATTCCGGGGAACAACCCGGCGCTCTGCGGACGGGGCCGGGGGCGGTGGGGAAGCGGCCCCCCCATCCCCGGGAATGGAGGGGGGGTCGGACTCGTGTGGGGCCGCTGCCTGCGGGAACGGGCACCCGCGGGTGTCTCCGGGGAAAGGGTTTCGGGAGAGGGAAGACTAAGGCTTTTCCCAACCTCCTTCAAAAAAAAAAAAAA